AGTTTTATCAAAGCTCGATGAACAAGTTATAATATTTCAGACTTTGGACAAGTAATAAAACATAAAACCTAGTAATTAAACCATGAGGTATCTCATATCTTATCAGCGAGCTACCTTGTAAATATTTCAACTGTTTCAAGATGCATACGTAAAGTTCATATATGGATTAGATTAAAAAGAACTTTTTATTGAATGGATTATGAAGATAACGAATAGTAACCAAGCTAAAAAGTCCGTGATAATAATACAAATTGATAGTCAGGTAATGATGGTGTATTGATACATTAAAAAGGGAAGTTGACGAAAAAAAGTTGAAGTCATCAAGTTTATCATATAATTTTAATGTCAGGTTACTATAAGAGTATTTTTTTTAGCAAAATATTATGAATTGAAGAAGATGCGTCAGATGCTTTTAAACATTTTATTTCGATTTTAAAGGGACATGAATAACCAAAGTTGAAATGAAAATGAATATTTTTATGGAGAAAATGTCGTCGATTTATCTAAATGTCGAGTTGAAGGTTAAAGCAAGAGAAATTATTTAGAAAATGGAAAACTTTGTTCATTTTTTTTTATTCTAAAGAAATATGCTCTATATTATGCTTGATTTAAATAAAGTGACAAATCAATGATGATAGAGACTTCCAGTTAGAGTATGGTTTGCTGTACAGTGAATGCAGGTGATATTCTTTTGCTACATGAAGGATGGGGAGATAACGAAAAGTATTCAATCTCAAAGTCCATAAAACAATATAAAACATGAGCAGAGCAAACACGGACCTCATAAACGTCAGAGTTGGGATCAGGTGCCATGGAGGAGTGAGCATCCCCTGCTGACCGGTCACACCCGCCGTGTGCTCATTATTATGATCTTGAAATAACGGGAAAATCCGTCGTCAATTCAGTGTATAAATAATGGACTAACAATTGGCATGAAAAACGTCAGCCAGCATTTAACTCAATGATAAATTGTATTTGCTGACAAGGTCATTTTATCGACCATAGATCTTATGAAATGATGACTTTAAGCGAGACTGCTGATATTCTTGTTTCATCAACTTGCTTGTCAATAATTGACCTCGTTTTAGAAATTGCTCATACGTAGAACATGCTCTTGCGTATCGAATCAACTGAGATATATACACTCTATATGCAGGTGATGAAGGTATATTGCTGCATAAGTAAGGGAAGTTGAAGATAGAAAAGTTTAAGTCGTTACGTTTATCATAACTTGGTTGTTAGGTTACCATTAACGTCTTTTTCAAGTAAAATATCCAAGTATGAAACAGATGTGTCAGACTCTGTACGTGGTATCTTTTATCTCAAGCTCTCCTGGATATATCGTATCGACGTAGTTAATTGACAATACGTAGTAGATATATCTGAAGGTCGAGTTGAAGGCCACAGCATCGATCTTATATCGTGTACATCGATAATTTCGTTAAAAAATATAGATACCATATATTTTTCTGTTTTATTAGGAATTACTCTAACAAAATATATGATATGATGTTCTATAATTGTTCATACATGCGAATTAAATTTTTTATATTCATTTGTAATATAACATTTTTTTACAAATTCAGTATCACTGTTTTAAAATTTAAGCATTAGAATTTCAAAAAATAATTTTAAAATAAAGTAACATGATAGTTAATTAAAGGATAGAAGTATTAACTATAGTCAATTAAAGTTAACTTAAGTAAATTTTAATTAACTTTCGTAAACTTTACTTAATTATAATACATTTTTGTAAAGGTATAAACTGTTAATATAGATAAAAAGCCAACAATGTCGGATAAAGAGGTGTCACAGTTTGTTGGCGATACAGCAGAACTAGTAGAGAATTCAAACACCAACACCTCTGTGAACGCAACAGAGGATACGCAGTCAGAGAATTCGGAAAACGAAATCGGTGTGTAAAGTATAAAAGAAAATTTCATGATATATGTTGAAATTGATTCAGAAATAAAGACGATAATATAGATTATTTAACAAGGCCTAAGATTAATGATCACAATGGAACATGTAAGAATAATTTTTGTTATAGTTTCAATATATCATATTGTAACGAAACCGAGGGTATCGTGTAATAGACTCGTGGGCCTCTATTTGTGGTCACTTGTAGAGATTTGATAATTCCGTTGGTCACGGTTTATATAATGGTTAATAACCAATTTTCGGTCACTTGATAGGTTAACGTAATGACCAACTTTTGGTCACTTATTTGATAGACGTAATGACCAACTTTTTGTCACTTCTTTGGTTGCCGTAATGACCAACTTTCTGTCACTTAATTAGTTGACGTAATGACTGAATTTTGGTCGCCTCTTTGTTTGACGTAATGACCAACTTTTGGTCACTTCTTTGGTTGACACAATGACCAACTTTTGGTCACTTAATTGGTTAACGTTATGACCAATTTTTGGTCCGCTTTAAATAATGTTTGTACTTGAATCGTCAGGAATAACACTTGTTTAAAGTTAATAATCTTTATTGTAACAATAAAATGGTCCACACAAACACAGTCATAAAAAAAATGGTACACTTCAATTTGGTTGGTACAACGTTATTTGGTTAACAAAAAGGTGACCAACCGATGGTCAATCCAGGACGTTCCTAAAAACTTGGTTCTCTTTATGGTTTCGTATACATAGACTTGGTACCGTCTTATAACCGAAGTATACGGAGTCGTTCCCCAAAGTGACTTACGTCACTTTTCCCTTACCAGGGAAGGCTGTGTGCTCCGAGTCGCTCCCCACAGCCGACTGAAGTCAGAACCCAAAACAGCTGGTTTATATAGACAAAAGTTGTTATGATGACGTAAGAGACAATCAGTTACCGTCACAATCAATGCAATGAATAAGTTAGCGGGATTTAACCATCAAAATTACCTACTAAATTAATAACGTTGTACCCATATAAAACATACAAAATACACCACTTTGTCATTAAATTATACATGTTAATTAATAATGTCATTAAATCAATTATAGTTCATTTCTTTCGTTAACTGTTCATTGACAATTATTTACGGAGTTTATAAACATCGGGTTCAAATTCCATATATTCCAAACTTGTAAACAAGAGTTAACCCGAATTTTACATTACGTTACATTATTTATGAACCTTCTTTTACATTATAATACTTTTCCGTGGATATAACATAATTTAACTCTACTTTTCCTTATTTACTTTAGAAAATGAGTCATTTGTTTCCAAAGAAGAGGACAATTGTCTTCGGTATTTTCTGGGTATTGGTATCGCAGAAAAGGCAGTGAGAATTTGGTTTGATACCGTCATACCACCAGATAAATTAGAAAATCATCTGCAAAGTCATGAAAGAAAGTTGAGGAAGATTTGCAACGATGATCAGATATCCAAATTATTTCCAGGTAAGAAGAAAATGCCTTAAGAAGTTCCGAGTTATTATGTTTCGTAACAAAGGAATAGTTTTTAAGCTAATGCCACTTTAGCACTTATGTTAAAAAGGACATAGTAACAATATATGCATCGAGTTCACATTGTTCTCAATTAAATAACTCCTTGAAATTGCTCATTTAACTCAATTGTTCATGGATGTTATAGCACATTGTATTTTAAAATTTAGAAAACAAAGAGAGCATTCTAACCTCTCTGTTTTACTTGCATATTCTGTACTAAGAGTAATCAAGAGATGTGTTTCTGACACTCCATGAAAAATATGCAAGTAAAAAAAAAGTCGGTTTTAGATTAAATTTGTAAAATTCTTCGTTTATTTCAATCTATCCTTGCAATAGTATGGGTTCACTGCAGTGCAATTACCTGTAAAGCTTATACTTTTAACATTATAAATTATATCTTTTTTAATCTGTTTCTTATATACGCGAACACGGTCGGCTAATTTAGTTCCTCTTTGCCCTTTATAATTTTCCTCACTTTAGGGCACATACGTCATACAATATATGATTTTTGGATTAACACGTCATTAAAGATTTTACGTCATTCACGTTAAACTCCATTCCATTTTTTAAAAATCATGGATTGGTCGGTTTGCAATGCTTGACAGGTTCCGCATCGTGGATCATTGCACTTTCAAACTTTCGGTTTTTCAGGGATTGATGTAAATTTGGCTGTAGTAAGATTTTTATTAAATACGGAGGTTGCCGCCTGCTTTGAAATCAATCATTTGATTCAATAAGGTCCCTTAATGTTTCTGAGTGTTGAAGATTGATTGATTGATTGTATAATGTTAAATGTCCCTCTCCAGAATATTTCACTGATACGGGGACGTCACCATTGCCGGTGAAGGGCTGCAAATTTAGGCCTATGCTCGGCACTCAGGGCCATTGAGCAGGGAGGGATCTTTATCGTGCCACACCTGCTGTGACACGGGGCCTCGGTTTATACGGTCTCATCCGAAGGACCGCCCCATTTAGTCGCCTTTTACGACAAGCAAGGGGTACTGAGGACCAATGCTAACCCGAATCCCCACGGGGCCTGATTGTTGAAGAATAGGGAAAATTAGCAGTTTTATAGAGATTTCAGCATTTTTCATCCAATGGAAATCAGCGAAACCAAATTGCCGTTTTTAGACATACTTATTATAAAATAGGGAAGAAAACTCATAACGGTACTCTACTAAAAGAGCACATACTCCCATCAATATTTGATTTTCAACTTATCCCCTTTAATATGGACAGGCGAATTAATATTATCGTTATAGATGAGGATTTCAGGAATAGTCTTAGTTCAGACAGCCTTGTATTTCTGCGATCCTCGTCTAATAGAAGAACAAAAGTACACATTCGCCTGGCTATATTAAAGGGGAGATTTTGTTTGGTATGGGAGGGATGGCATGAGATGAAAATCAAATATCAATATATTTTCCCTACAGTTACAAATGTGGATGATACCTTTTTTTAACCCTGTGTAAGAAATGAGAATATAGATTGATATATTGCTAATAATTTTTTACAGGAAATAGTTCTGTAATATCATCAACATTTGACATATCATTGATGTATAAAATAATAAGAAATACAACAAAAGTCAGAAAACCGATAAAAGATTGGGGAGAAACTCCAGATGACACAGATGTGGAACCTGCTGACGACCTTGAACGAGTCCGGATCCAACGAAACTCACTTTGTCATGGCCCTCAGTCAATTAGCGACAATGAATTTGAAAAGAAATGGAAAGAACTTAAGGAAGTAATGTGTTAATCTTTCTAATACTGTATATTCCTAATTTTTGCGAGTAATTTTATCGCAAACTGGCGATAACAATTCGGCAGTTTATCATGGTTTCGAGTTAAGTTTTCGCCTTAGAAATTCTCTGTTCATCTGTCAGTTGGCTGGACATACTTATTCTTCAGTGTATGTAACCTTTTTTCACCTCTGCTTTTGCTCTGTTCCTGATTTGTAATCTTTAAGGAAGGTCTATTCTTCTACGGACCCGGATTTACTTCCCTACACTTATTTCTAGTATATAACTCTGTTTAGTACATGAATGTCTATTGAAATGATTTTGTTAAATGATTGTTAACAATACTGCTAGTATGTGATTGTTGATCGAAGTGCTGTTTTGTACAAGGCATCTACTACATATATGATATATTGAAATTAACACTAAAAATGCACTCTGTTCATTGTATTTACATGTATTTGTCATTTTATACAGACACACGCACAAACACAAAATTCTTAGTTGCCTGTATAAACTATAAAATCTTAAGCATTTTTCAAACAAATTGACTTGAAATCAATTGTCAATTTTATTTGAAAATAACATTTTCACCATCTGTACCATCTATAAGATGGTATATATATTTGTAAAACTTTATATACCTTAAATGGGTATATACATGTTCAAAAGACCCAATTTACAAAAATCAGTCTAGTCCACCATAATAAACTATGTGTTTTAGTAACCCTAGATATAATTCTAAATAATTTTAAAGATAAAAATGGCATGTAATTAATTTACATTTTAAGATTATGCAACATTAAGGTATTTTAAGATTTATTTCTAAATAAAGTAGACAGAATCAAAATCAATTTTTTTTTATGTTTTCCACCGAAAATCATATGAAAATTTAATATTTGGATATTTCTTAAGCTTTGATCGAAATTTGATACACTTTGGTTCATAACTAAATAATATTGGTCCATACTTCTCTACATTAACTTTGAAAGCTTTGTTGTTAGATAACCATTAACATTAACGTCTTCTCTTCTAGAAAAAAATTCAGAATTTGACTTTTGAGCATGATTAGTTTTTGCAAAATATCTACATATTCATGCTAATTTTGATTGATTGATTGATTGTATGTTGTTTAACTTCCCTCTCGAGAATATTTCACTCATATGGAGACACCAACACTTGCCGGTAGAGAGCTGTAAATTTTGTCCTATACTCGGCACTCAGGGCCAATGAGCAGGGTGAGGGTTCTTTTTCGTGCCAGCACCTACTGTGACACGGGACCTCGGTTTATAAGGCCTCATCCAAATGACCTGTCTCCACGTCCCACAGTGGGATTGCTAATTTTGAATATATCTATCAATTATAAATAGTTTAGTATTAATATCTTCTGACAAATAAGTGGAATTTAAGGTAATAGCAACTTTTTTTAAAGTCCGCATCTGGTAAAATCTATGATCATTATCATGACCCTTTTTTAAAATGTTTCCCATCTTTGGGTCGTTATTTTATTTTATTCTATCTTATCAAAACATACGAATTACGATGGATATGACCATTCAACAGGGGATATTTTCTCCTCTCAAGCACTAGATTAGCTATGAAATTTTGAAAGATTTTTCTACAATGTACGTAAGCCTTGTTTTATATGAGTAATTGTATTTTATTTAAGATAATACAAAGACTTGCTGGAGGCCAGTTACTCGGAGATGTAGAATCTCTACAAAGCAAAGACTTAGATCACTCATCACGGGCATCTGTTAAGAGTCTCCTCGCGGTTCTGACAGCAAGAGTTCAAAACGTGGAAAAATATGCAGTGGATCATATTCCAAAAAACATCAGAGGTACACCTTATGATTTTTAAGGCTATTACTAAATTTGTTAACATATACAGTTCCTCCATAAAAAAGACACTTTAGGGAATCAAAAAATATATTTTTTTAAATATAAACAGAAATTTGAATGTCTTATCAGGAAAATAATGGCATAAACATATATTTTTTAATGGAAATGGATTGTAATGCAAGAGAAAAATAACCAGTGTTGTCAGAACAACAAAATACAAAAAAGTCTTAATATGAACGTTATCTAACTTCGTTATTTTTTAAAATTCCCGCCAAACACACTGCACGTGATAGATAAAAATAAAGTAAAACATAAATGTACACTTCACAAAATTACGATGATGCTGATGATTTTAATGGTCAAAACTGGTCAGTGAATTCGTCTAATTTAAATTTTAATTTTAATTCAGAGTTGCTGAATTACTTAGTTACAAAAAATAAATCAGTTTCAAATATCAAGGAGTATTTATTTTTATCATTTCTCTAGAACAACATGAAAGAGAAATACGGAAATGGCGAGAGATGGATAGACTTTTCTGGACAACGGCTGCTTACCAAAAAGTCCTTGATAAAATCAGATCCTCGCCTTTTGTGACAGTGACTGGCAGTGGTGGTAGAGGAAAAACTTTTCTCATTCGTCACATAGCTCTGGAGCTTGCTCAAGACGGATTTGAGATAATTCCAGTTTCAACACTTGAACAGGTCATCCTGTATGGACAACTAAATTTCAAGCAATTATTCATTGTAGATGATGTATTAGGTGTATATGGTCTAGATATGAGTCTGTATAACAGTCTTAGTAGACAGTCTGATAATGTGTTAGACTTACTAGAAACAGGATCAAAATTACTGATGAGTTGTAGATCAGTTGTGTTTAATGAGTCCAAACTACTAAATAGTTTTGTTACAGATGACAATCATGTCATTAATTTAGATGACAAAAGCAATGAACTTAATGATGAGGACGTGAAAAACATGTTACAGAATCACTGTAAATATAAAAATGTAAGGGAAGTATGCTTTGAAAAGTTAAAGTTACCTAGCATATTACCAATGTTCCCTCTGCTGTGTAGGGTATTCTCATCTACTGAAAAATATCAGGCAATGGGGGATAACTTTTTTCTGGTTCCGTACCAGTGTATGTTTTCTGACCTTGATAACATGCAAGAGCTAAACAAAGTTCATTACGCAGGTTTGGTGTATTGTGTGATTAAGGATAATTGTGTCCGTCCTAAATCCTTTGATAGGAATTGTCTAAAAGACGTGCTTGAATGCTGTAGACTAAGCCAGTCAACGTCTAATTCGAAACTTGTACATGCAATGCAGGTATTGAAGGGATCTTATCTGACGCAAGACGCAGAAGGTAGATATTTTTTCATTCATGATAATTTCTTTGAAATTGTTGCAGTTCACTTCGGAAAACGTTTTCCAGAATGCCTTATTAAACATTATACCTCCTGCTCTATTTACAAACTTCTAACAATTGAGAACACGATATCGGAAATCAAGGACGATATGATCCCTATCTTTGAGGACCACTTTTTGGCACTGGTAGACCGAATCCTTTGTGACATTAAAGATTTCAAGTTTTATGAAGTATTTAGCAGAATAGGACATTTCTGGAAATGCGAAAAATTTGTTTCAACAGTTTGTGGAACTTTGGAAAAATTAAACTTTGGTGAAATTAGGCAATTATTATTTGACGTTCAGAAGTGTGAGCATGAAGACAAAAGGCAACCATTTACAGAAAAGCTAGAAGATCAAATGAATGAAATGATTGATAAAAGAAGAGAATTAGGAATTGATAAGAGATATGAGTGTAAATTTCAAATTTTGCATAAATATTCCCCCAGAGTCATAACCTGGATTATTGCATATGGCTATGTGAATCTTTTGTCTAGAATTATAAAGATTGTCGAAAGTAAAAGTCGTTTTATAGGAACAACAGGTTCCGTCAACGATGACATTTCAAAAGACATCTCAGAGGTAGTGTTCGGTACCGGTCTGGAATTACAATCTGTTTGTTTCACACTATCTTGTTGTAGTGGTAGTTTGGAAATGGTCAAGCTGGTTTTTCGTCACGTAAAAGCCGAATGTACAAATTATATCTTAAGTGAAAGGTTTACACCGTTATTTGTAGCATTATCGACTACTTGTAATGACATTGTTGAGTTTTTGCTTTCGAAGGGAGCAGATGTCAATGTGAGCTTTGGAAAATACAATATTTCAATTCTTGCTTATTCATGCTTTTTTGGAAATGAAAACGCGGTGGATTCTTTAGTGAAAGGGGGCGCTAACATTAATGCTCCGATGGCAAACTTCGGTTCTGCACTACATTTCACATCGTATTTCGGCAATCTTCATCTTGTTAAGTACCTTATTAAGAACGGTGCTGATGTTAATAACTATGACAAAAATGGGAGATCTCCCTTGCATTATGCAATAGTTGGTGGTAATCTGGAGATAGTAAAGTGTCTTATAAAGAGCAATGCAAACGTCAATTTTTGTGACATAGAAGTGAAGTCTCCACTAAATTATGCATCATATAAAGGACATCTAGAAATCGTTAATTGTCTGCTGAATTGTGGTGCAGATGTGAATTGTGGTGCAAGCTGTCTTTCTGCCGCATGTTCAAGTGGTCAGTATGATGTTGTAGAATTGTTGATTGATAAAATTGACATTAATAGAGTTGATGACTTTTGCGATCCCCCTCTTCATTCTGCTGCCAGTTCAGGTCATGTTGACATTGTAAAAAATCTTATAGAACATGGAGCTGATGTTAATCTGCTTTGCTCTTGTGGCAATCCACTTTACTGTGCCACACAAAATGGTCATTTACACATCATTGAATACCTTATGGAACATGGCGCTAATGTAAATCAGGGTTATTGTGGTGATAAAAATACGTCTCTTTTATGCTGTGCTTCTAGCAGAGGTTATCTGGAAATTGTGAAAGAACTGGTCAGATATGGTGCTGATATCAATGTCTGTGACAAAGATGGACGATCTCCATTATGCCTTGCAGCACGTGAAGGTCACGTGGGGATAGTAAAGTATCTTATAAACCGTGCTGTTAATGTAAATGTCTGTGATTTGCGTGGAAGGTCTCCACTATACTATGCGTCAGCTCGCGGTTATCTTCATATTATAAAATGTCTTATTCAAAATAATGCTGACCTACAAGTTGTTGCAAATTCTCTCTCTGTCGCTTGTAGTAATGGTCATCATGACGTTGTTGAGTACCTTATCGATAAAGCTGACGTAAATAGAGTAGAAGGCATCAGTGATCCACCTATGCATTCCGCTGCCAGTTCAGGACATCTTAATATCGTAGAATTTCTTGTTAAACATGGAGCGGATGTTAATCTGCTCACCTCTGTTGGAAATCCACTTTACTGTGCCACAAAAAATAGTCATTTACATGTTATTGAATATCTTGTGAAACATGGCGCTAATATAAATCAGGGTTATTGTGGTGATACAAATACGTCTCCCCTATGTTGTGCATCCAGCAAAGGTTATTTGAAAATTGTGAAAGAACTGGTAAGACTTGGAGCTGATGTCAATCTTTATGACGAGGACGGAAGATCCCCACTATTCCATGCAGTATATGGAGGTCATTTAGAGATTGTGAAATATCTTATAAACAAGGTACTTAGCATAAATATATGTGACAGGTATGGGAAATCTTTATTATATTATGCTTCAGCTGGAGGACATTTAGATGTTGTACAATTTCTTATCAATAGTGATGCTGACGCTGATTATGATATCAGTTGTCTATTTGTTGCTTGCCATCGTGGTCATTATAATATAGTGGAGTATCTAGTTGACAAAGTGAAAAACATCAGTTCTTGTGACGGTTCCGGAAGATCCCCACTGTATTATGCATCTGCTGAGGGTCAGTTAGATATTGTTAAATGTCTGATTATGAATCATGCTGATGTGAATTGCGGTGCAAGTTGTCTATCAGCAGCTTCAAATCGAGGTCATTTCGACATTGTTGAGTATCTTAGCGATAAAGCAAATGTGAATGAGATACAGGGCTACAGCGATCCCCCTCTTCATTCTGCTGCCAGTTCAGGTCATCTCGACATTGTGAAATATCTAGTGGCACATGGAGCCGATGTTAATTTACTGAGTTTTTGGAATGAGAGTCCCCTTTATTGTGCCACAAAGAAGGGACAGTTACACGTTATTGAATATCTTGTAGAACACGGTGCCGATATAAATCAGGGCCGGTGTGATGATATTAATACGTCTCCTTTATACTGTGCCTCAAGCAAAGGTTACCTGGAGATTGTAAAAGGATTAGTGAAACGTGGTGCAGATGTAAATATCTGTGACCTTAATGGAAATTCTCCACTATGTTACGCTTCAAGGTATGGTCATCTGGAAATTGTAAAGTTTTTGCTACAAAGTAATGCTGATTTCAATATCGGTGTAAGTTGTTTATCTGCTGCTTGTAAAAGCGGACATTTAGATGTTGTAGAATATCTTAGTAATATAATGGATGTTAACAAGGTGTATGACATTTGTGATCCTGCGCTTCATAGCGCTGCCGGTCAAGGCCACATTGATATTGTTAAATATTTGGTAGAAACTGGTGCAAATGTAAATTTATTAAGTTTTCATGGTTACAGTCCACTATGCTGTGCTGTAGAGAATAAACACCTTAGGGTTGTTGAATATCTTGTAGGACACGGTGCTCATATAGAAAGAGCTGTTCATATTGCACTTGAAGGTGATCAGAGACATATCTTAGATTTTCTGTTAAAACTTTTAAATTAAGGAATGAAAATATGTGAAATGAATGTATGTAGTATTTATATTGAATATATCCATATCCTTTCATATATACGTATGAATAATTGTATTGTATATACCACATAAGTGTACATGACAATGATTATGTTGTTTTTTTTCTAATCTATTTTTATCCGCTCTTACTTGTTTTATTTCTTTAAAATGAGCGTAAAAGTTTCCTTCAAGTTTACAAGGAGGTCAGAAATTAGCGCACTAGAGATTGGGGAATTACGATTACGAATTAAACAAATAATTATTATAAGTGTAAAAATAGCGGGCAATTGTAAGCAAATGCCCAAAAATATTATCTCGCTATTATAAGTACGGCTACAGTATATTGTCATCACTATAACCTGCATCAATAAAGTTTGTCATTTATAGTTCATTTATCATAATTATGTGTATGGTGCTCTGTAAACCGCTTAATCCGAAACAGGCACATATTATCGTACACAATAAAAATACGTCATTAGATAGATAATATATAATTATAAATAATTGATAATATTAATTTAATAGTTTATTACAACAATCCTTACATGGAAAACGTAGATCAAAAACCTTATTGATAAACAGAAGTAGAAGTTCCTGACGAGAGATTAAGATCTGTTGTGAAGTCATTTTGAGCAAAATACATTTATCGGTTATATCTAATAATGAAGATAATTCAAACCCGATTTTTTTTTTTCATTAGTAGAAGCCTTAATCATGATATATCTTTTAAAAATTAAGAACTTTATTGAATAAAATCCGTAGTAATTTTTATATTAATATGCATATTTAAAGAAAAAAGAAAAATAATATATTTTTAAAGATTTTTTTCAAAGGAAGTTTAGTAACGAAGGCTTAAATATTGTCCTTGTACAGGTATAAGTACTTTGTTGTGAAAAAAAATGCTCGGGTTTGTTCTTCATGAGATATACATGTAAGCGATAATTTAATTTTTCGAAGGTGATTTCATGCGATATATCAACATAGGATTTTTTTTGTGTGACCTAACAAAAATTATTTTTTTAACTTTTGAATTCTGATATCTTTAAAAGAAATAGACTTTGGGGATATAACTTGACAAAAGTTGAAACAATTTATGGACAATTAGTTTTCAAGAAGAAAAACGAATATATTTTTTAGAGATTAGAATTGGACCAAGCGGCTTTAATGACTTCCGATCATGAAATATTACATTTTATAAACGTGTATTTTGTATCGTTCGTCAATGAAGAAATGAATTTTCAATATTTACTTTCTATCGATTTGCAATGTTTGAAGTATAATTCTCCCTCTTGTTATTGTTCGTCTTAACCACCCAATATAGTCTTGCTGAACACGTTATACACGGGGACGTGATATTGATAATAATGGAAAACTGTCAACAATTATTTTAAAAGAAAGAGAACGTAGGCGATCCTTAATTTTCACATTTTGTTATCGTCATAATTTCGAATACTATTCGTCATCTCCATTTAAACTGAAAGAAAAAGAAACGCCGGGTAAACTTTTGAGACGATTTCTTTTTTCTCAGTATTTTTATCTTACTTTTAAAATTATCTATAAAGAAAATGTTACCAAACTTCCATTTGATCTTGTCTCCTAATTGATGAGTTATTGAAACTCATTTGACGATGCCCCACAAAGTGAAAATCGAAAAAAAACTAATTTTCAATATATCTCCTCCGCGCATCTGTCACAAACTTTATTCTCCTTTTCATGGAATTCACCAGGTTAATTTTTCAAACCTGGCTATATTGGACATTGGTAACCACACCGAAAAGATAGTCAAAAGATGCACGCATGCACCAGTAAGGGGAACAAAAACGTAAAGTTGACCGGCTCAAACGAAAACTAGACCCTGTGGAGTAAAAATACGACATATGTGAACTCCCTAACAAAATACTATTTAACTGTTGTTAATTATGGTTAACTGTAGTTTACTAATTTGATCAAAGTTCTACAGTTTTCACCATAGTAAATCAAAGTTCTAAAGTTTTCATCATAGTAAGTCAAATACTAAAGTTTTCACTGTAGTTAATCAAAGTTCCAAAGTTTTCACTATAGTAAATCAAAGTTCCAAAGTTTACACCATAGAAAATCAAAGTTCCAAAGTTTTCACTACAGTTAATCAAAGTTCCAAAGTTTTCACAATAGTAAATCAAAATTCCAAAGTTTTCACTTTTGTACTAAAGTTACATTGTAACAATAGTAAACTATAGTTAACTATAGTTTACTATAGAATTTTTTTTAGGGCTTATAGGAATAAAATGATCATTTAACTACGATTTCTTGTGAATGTAAGATTGAATGTATTTAATAGGAAGAATAATCAATCTCACGTTTTCTGGGGTGAGAGGGAGATGGGGGAATAGCGGATCAAAATTTCCAACTGTTGTATGTTATAGAACCTTGCGTTTTGATTTTGCTTATGAAATGTGTTTTTTCCAGATATTTGAATAATTATTAAACAAAACTTAAAAAGTAATAGACAAGAGTTGCAGGGTAAGGGGATGATTATGCAGGGCTTGAAAATGTCATTCTTATTAGTATTTTAAGAAATTTTAAGTAATTTATTACACATATGCATTACAATGGAAGCACATGCTTTTAAAAGACGTATTGTATTATGACTGAATTGAACGAATAACTAAAATTCCGAAGAAAATTCAATTTCCTTAAAGGTCTGGATAGCTTTATCGATAAAAAATGATTAATTATAACTATAACTATAATGATTTACTGTAAAGAAATACTTTGAGAAAATACATTGCTTTAATTTACCTTAAAAGCATTGCACAAATGAAAAAGAAATTGTTCTAAAATTTTATTTGCACATAATGTTTCAAACCATGTGAAATCAATAATTTTTGGAGGAGGGGATAATATTCTTTTTTTTTCTATGAAGAAATCAACGAACTTTGCCCACCACGATAGTTAAAATTTCACGGATCTTTTTTTTTTAGTTATTTACGTATTATTTTTTTTTTACAGTTTTTAACAACAGAATCATATCCTCACACATTCATTGTTTTCAACGAACTACATTCATATGATCCCCACAATACTATTTGATTTACAGTACATTTGCATACATATCCTTAGAAATGAACCTTAGAACTATACTACTTTTTTTCTTGAAAATGATACTCAAATGTGTATTTTCTTTCCTATTAATTATATGAATATCCTTTAAAATTGAATATACGTACATGTAGTAGGAACGACATAGACCGTACCCAGGATTACGTTTGCTTTTATCAATAGTTAATCATGCATTTGACAAAGTATATTTTCTTAATTAGATAATTCATATTTTTGTAAAATAAATGTTTCAAAATATGCATAAAAATGCTAAAACACATGTAGATGCTGACGCTTTTCTTCACAACTATATGTACGGAATAAGAATATCAGCTGTTTTCTATTTTTCATCATATTCTGCCATAGATGATAACTGTATTTAATCACTCAGCTTTTCTGACTAAGAGTGGTTTTGACGGATGATCCTGAATCTCCTCAGAGTTTGTATTCTCTGCAGGTTCAACGCCCTACTAGTATTCTAATTATAGAAATTAAAAGCAAACGAAAATTTGAAGGTTTAATTCAAACTACACATATATCAACAGCATATTAGAAGATTAGTAATATAACAATGCTAAAACCTGTGATATTTTAAAACTTGAATTTCACCATCTATGAATAAAGTTTTTATTTAAAATTTGTCTTCATTTTCATTTCATCATCCCACCAGAGTTAGAATTAACTGAAGGAAGTCTAGGATTGGTAGCGGCTGTCATGGGTCCGGAACCCCCACAGAGTTTGTACTCTCTGCAGGTACAGCACTGAGGTAACTCCAAGGTCTCCAGTTCAAATCGGTGACTGGCAGGACAGAAAACCCACACATTGAAGAAGCGGTGTCGGTCAGGCAGACAAGCACTTGTTACATCATCAGTCTTCGAGCAGTCCCTGTAAAGATTTTGTCATTGTCAAGTACAAGTTGTAGAGAGATTTTACGAACGAAATCTTTAAAAGAGTGTTTGTTTGCTATTTCCCAACTCAGGGTAAAATTATTGGGTCGGGTTTGTGTTGGATTTTTTCCCAAGAAAATTTCAACATATTTGTTGACGGGATACATGTAAGGGGAATAAATATAAAATATATAGTTTTCTGGAATGTTAAAGGAAGGTTGAGTCGGACAATTTTAACTACGGCGGTTGGGACAGGACAACCAACATTGTTTTGAAGATGTATTAATACGAAAAAAGATCAGGTTAGAGTGCTTAAAGAAAGGAGTAAAGTTTTAAAAAATAATTTTAAAAAATAAAAGAAAAAATTAAGACAGATGGAATTGATTATGGATTTTTGAATAATACTTACTTCTGGTAATCACACTTTGCGTATGTTACACACTGTCGGTTAGGATATACAACGTAGCATGGTTTATTGTTCCTGATTATCTTTGTGACGTAATCAAATTTGGATGGGCATACCTTTGTCAGTCCAATATCTGATATTTTGCTGAAAGATTTTATTTTACTTTTAAAATATTTTGCTAAAAGAGTCTATTTTACTTTTAAAAATCAAAGACAAGACTTTATGGTAAAAGTGTACTCATGAAAGAAGAAATAAAATTTACCTTGGTTCGCAATCATACGATTTTTGATCAAGAAACTTCTTTATTCCTGGTCTGCACTTCAATGCACGGAGAATTTTTCTCCTGAAATAATTTTTTCAATATTTATAATGCATTCAAAGAATCGTTGCTATTAAAGTTTGAGTTTTATGAGTTTTAAAGTTAATAATTATGTAGCAATATACCTTCGTCATCTGCATACGGAGTTTATATTTCTCAATTGATTCGATAAGCAAGAGCATGATCTACATACATTGTATGAACAAAATCTACAACGAGATCAATCATTGACAAACAAGTTGATGAAACAAGAATATCAGCAGTCTCGTTTAAAGGCATTTCGTAAGTTCTATGGTCGATGCGTGTGTGACCAGTCGGGGTGTTCACTCCTCCATGGCACCTGATCTCACCTCTGATGTTTTGGAGGTCCATGTTTGCTCTGCTCATATTTCGTATTGTTTTATGGGCTTTTGATCTTCAAACTATTCGTTATATCCATATGTTTCAGTACCAATATTTGCTGTTACTTCTGATAGATTATATTTTCGGCCAATGTTGACACATAATGCTGGTTTTTTTCTAATGGCTGATTCTTATAACAAATTATTTGATAGAATATTTATTTTGTTACCTTTTTTCCTTGGTTAATTAACTTAAATCTTATGTAAACGTCTCCTTAATATTTGTTGATTTTTCAAAATCAAAAATATCGTATATTCGCCAAAGGTGATATAAAATTTTGATATTCCTAGCTGAAATCCCGAGCAAGCACGGGGAAGTTAATAGTTTTTTTTAGTTCCACCACCGTTTTCAGAAGTATCTATTAGATTCTGCTGACAGTTTATCAGTGTTTATTACAATGTATACAGGCTTATAGCATGACGTAGTACTTCAAACCCCCGCATATACATGTAGTTTAGGAACAGAAAAAGATAATTATAATAAATACATCCCCTATTTTTTTTTTACTTTTACAAATTTCAAGTAGGCTTCTTCTTACATGTTATACATCAACTTTGTTTTGATATATGTACGATGTTCTACATTATTTACTAAACACACTTGCTCATTGACGTTCCCTCGTGGTCATGTTAGAAACGTTATATTAATTTATATTAAACTACATTGTTACCTAGAATACTTTGCTCTGTATCCGTCTACATTAAGAATACGAAAATGAATCTGAATATTTAACTATTAATTTGTCAGCATTTTAAAATATTGAAAATAGCTGATTTTTCATCCCATATATACATACAGGCCCAAAACGTATAAATGGGTATTTCAAATGAAAGACTGTATGTAGAAAATCTACTGAAATGAATTCATCAAAGAACATCAAAGCATTAGTGAAATACCCGGAGAAATATTGTTCAAGGGGGCCGACTGGGGTTTTATTGTGCGAAAACTACAAAAGATAAACTATTTAATTTAATAACATATGTTTCTCTCACATTGAGTTCAGTGTATATGCCATTTTGGGGAAAATCTACCCACCAGATACTTTTAAGGGACCTTCTCAAAATATAGGTACTTTAGGATTTTATAGGAAAATGCCAATTTTTGCACTTATTATACAAAAACAACAATAGATTTTTGTTCAAATTATAATATATGATGAGTAATGTTATATTGCACATATGTACATGTAAGAAACACAAATTTCTACCGTCTAGTTTCCAGAGGGGGCATCTCAAAATTCCATAAAACATAATTTTTTTCCTGTTTTATAGTGTACTAAAAATATGACGGAAATAAAGGATAAGTACTTAAAATTGTAAGAATGATCGAGAGATTCTCAATCTTTTGGATTCTCAAAATTATATGATTTAAATTTCAAAAGCATATGTTTAATACTTTTTTTCTTCTATAATATTTTTATCTTCTTTAAGATATACAGTTTATCATACCGACAAAACACACTAATACGACACAAATCTATCTCTCAGCTGAAAAATTGTTTTAAAAATCAGTTACAAAAATGTAGCCTAATCAAATCATTTAACCTGTTATTAAGTGAAATTAAGTGCTTTTAAACAGTAAATACGTTTAATTTTTATAATGATGCGCGACGTATTCCACAATGGAAACCCCAGTCAAAAAGTGAAACCTAACCTGACTGTCCATGATTGACAGGTGGAATCGACGTCCAGCTCCGGTGTTGAAGGCTCTGTTTCCCAGCATTTTCCCTTGACGTCATAGTTTCCCTCGCCAAATGTTACGGCTTTACATTTCTTCTCGGCAGCATCGGTAAAACAGGCCAAAAAGAGGACAGAGGCGATAAAGAACCAAACACACTGAAATTTAGAATTTTATAATAATACCAAAATGTGCATTAGTAGGTTTACTAAATACCGAAAAAATAAACGCGTTGTTTCAATTTTATTGAAAATTTATTTAAGTATTAAATATTTAGATGGGTTTGCGAATTCATTAGGAAGAGTTTGACGATTTAAAAAGAGGTTCATCAGACAATGGATATGACACAAAGTTATAATCTTTTATTTTTTGCATTTATATATAATATTTTTACACGTGAAATATTATTTTTGTAATACTTTGTTTATAGAGGGGGACTATGTAAAAATTTTTGAAAAGAATTATACAAGTAAAAGAACTGAAGAGATTTTACCTTCATGATGTCAAACCTTCAAAGTCCACGAAAGCCAGTGATGTATAGCTTTCTACACCTACGCTTTATATACCTTTTACTGAATGCATATGAACATTAAAAACAAGTAAAATAAATCTAAAAGTCGGAAAAAGAAGTGTTATCTTTCTACCTTTGAATTTCATATCTGCATTCAATATCAGTTTTACGAAAGGTACAGATTCCAGATAACGTTTATCAAAATATTTCGACTTACAATGCAGTACAGTAACTGACTTCTTCTTTATTTCTTTTATTCATTTTGGCTTAAATATATAATTTACATACATATTTACCGAACAAAACTAATTATTTAATGAAACTTGTATTGTAGATTTGTACTTTACAGCTATAGATTTAAAGACATTCAGTTTGAAACGCATCTTTTGTTGATAAATTTCAAAATATAATTTAGCGAAGTCTTAATTCTTCTTGTTTTCTCGTTTGTTCTCACTAATTTTAACATGATTAAAGAAAAATGAAGGGGCTTATTCCTTTTAATTGTAAACACTTATCTTTACTTTTGCAATTTTTTTATATACCCACTCTTACATAAAAACCATTGGCAGGAATAGTTAACGGTTTTCAGTGGAGCTATATGACAATTAATTTAGAACGATTGAAAAATCTTAAAGATGGATATTGAACAGGTATTTTGAAATGTTTGGCATTGATTAGATTCATGTTATAAAGATTATTTCTGCAGCAGCAAAAAGCGTGCAGTTTTCTTTTAAAGTGATAAGTTTATTCTTTGCGGCTAAATAGAACTTGCCAAGCTTATTGAAGGCTACAAAATTCAATTTTACATATCTAAAACAATTATCAGACATGACATAGAAGTATTTGTACCTGCCTCTAGGTTAAACTTTATATTTATACAAAAGACATTCAAGATGAAAGGAAGAAAAAATATATATTCATTTGATACTTATAAAAAATATAATGTACTTTTGTGCATGCAAATTAAAGAAAATAATTATTAGCTTTCGACTGTTAACTTCGGCAAATAAATGTACAGTGTAATTTTTTATTTACTTTAGAAAAATTTTAGTACTCTAGCTGGATTTTGATCGTCGATGATATTTTTTTCTTTTAGAATTTGAGATGTCGAAGAAGCATGCACTTTTATTTTCTTTTTAAGTTATATAATTATTCTACTTTATATAAATTCAATAAATATCGTATTTTGATAGCTGTATTTTTGCATTTATAGCAACTCAATAGGTTTGGGCTATTTGCCTATCATTATTCTTATCAGAGTGAACGCAGTACATGTACATAAACTGCAAAGATGTATCACGTGATCAGGTGCAAAGGTCAAGGTAAATTTTTAAACAATTTGCTTCTTGATCATGAAGAGGTCACATTGAAATAGTAAGTTTTTTGTTAAGCCTTTGAATAAGATTTAAGATAAACGAAAGTGTACTGAGGAGAAAACTAACATATCTCTGACAAACATTATGACATAATTCCAAAATTCAGAGATTTTATGCATTTATGTGTTGCTTGGTCTCTCTCTGTTTTTACACAGCAATGATAAAATGTTAGGTATACCTTACCCGCAAACTTTCATGTCCCGGAGCAGTGGTCTTGCATGTCTCCGAACCCGTTGGTTATTTAGCTACCATAGTTTTTTATACCCCTAGTTTGAAAAGCGGAAGGTTATATAGTAATCGGGGTGTCCGTCTGTACGTCCGTCTGTCTGTCCGTCCGTCAGTCTGTTACGCTTTGGGGTACCTATCTCTCTCCGCAAATCCTCTCATACCACTGAATGAAATTTGATGAGACTTTCACGGAATCTTTTTTACATATTGCCATTGTGCACTTCCTATTTTACCTTTTGATCCGATACATATTTTGGGTTTCCCGGCCACAGCAAAACATGGACTTTGCCATGATAACCATATGGGAGGCGGTGGTATCATTTAGTGAGCTCATTGCTCACAGTACATTTATTTGGAATTTACATTGGTGGACCTGAGAAACCGTAGTATCATTTTAGTATTTGTATCGACATGTTATTTGAACACAATTGCGACCGCTAATTGCATCCAAAATCTTTTAAGTGTGTATCAGTGTTTAAGTGTTTTTCATTTTAATTCAATTTAAAGGTAATGCATGTTGATAATAAAATGATATTATACAATTATGGACTGTTTAGAAGGGAGACATCACCAATTATCAGGTCTGAGTAGGGTTGTCACCCGAGGGCGCTTGCGCCATCACCAATTATCAGGTCTGAGTAGGGTTGTCACCCGAGGGCGCTTGCGCCCGAGAGTGACAACCCTACTCAGACATGATAATTGGTGATGTCTCCCTTCTAAACGGTCCATAGTAGTTTTATTATCCTGAAGAATATACAATTATCAATTAGATAGAGTAGAAAATAGTAATCAAACCTTTTGTTTTCTTCTACTCTGTTCCGATTCCATACTTTCAAATATGTCAACAGACAACTCTGACGTCATCGTTAGAATTTATTGTTTACCGATCCCGCATATTTAGCCATTGTACTTATAAACAGGAATTATCTCGCTTAAACCACTGTAGTTTTATTCAAAGGGAGACTACACAGTTGTAACCCTGCATACTCGCTTACGCTATTTCATTGTCATCTGAAGGGAGATAACAGTTGTCACCCTGCACGTGAGGGAGACACCACGAGTTGTCTCCCTGCACGTGACCTGCTCTAAACCAATCAGATTGACTGTATAATTCTGAAGGATAATAATAAATTTTGTCATCAGAAAGACAATTGTTTTGAATTCCATCACGTTCTGCAATATGCTGAATGATACTAAATATTATTTTCAAGTACTTCACATTCTAAAATGTATGTTGTGATAAAAAATCACAGCTCTATTTGCTGTATCAGATTGTCTTAACATCATTATCAGAGAATACTTTATTTTAGTAAAAAGTAAATCCCAAAGCTTATTCCATTTGAATCTAATGCTTTTGTTGTTGTTAAATATCAAGTTCTGGCGTGTTTAATGTTTTGGTGAAAATTAAATAGAACAGAGGGCTATAAAGCATTCAACACTAACGCGACAATAAAAACTGGGAACAAAGCAGGCACAGACCTTTTCAAATAGAAGCTGACAATAAGCCCAAATCATTTTTATAATATGAGTTTGAACCTTTTACATTTGTATGTGTTTAGAAAAAAAACCCTATTGTATGTTTTAAAAGCTTTTTTTTTATTAATTAAGGAAAAATTATGCACATTCATGCAAACAATTTTCCCACGACTGAAGATTTATAAATGAATTCAATATAAAATTGCACTGGCTTTTCATTTAGAATATTTTGACAATATCTCAAAATTTATATACTTCATTTTTTTTTTTTTTTTTTTTTTTTTATTTTGAAAAGTCAGGTTATATAAGTAAGTATCTAAAATACACTTCGCAAAAAATTATTAATGAAAATAATTCCATGATTAATTATAATGCCTTATAATATGCCAATGACATGCTGACAAAATTAAGAAAGAAAATAGCCCTTACACAAAAGAATGTAATTTCATTTCCATATTAAAGAAGCAAGACAAGGAATGAAATCTATATTCAGATGAAAATGACGAGTACATTTTTGTAAAATACAAATACATTTAATACTAGCAATTTTGAAAAAAAAATATTTACGAATGGACTTTACTACATGTATAAAGTCAAATATGGCGCATTTCTGATAAGTACAGACTTACTTATATAAAGAAAATCTTTTTTATTTGTTTTGTTACTTCATATAGAGATAGGACTTTCCTGTAAATTACAATTCTTAAATCAATCGCATTTCATATATGTAAGAGATTTAAATTTACCGACTAAATAAATATCATTATTATTATAAATCTACACTTAATCTCGTATTTTTTATTTTAAGCTTAAATACGCCATATACAGTGGTAACTAACAGTATTTAACGAGTATTTCGGCGACAAAAATTCTTTAAACAATTTACTATTAAAGTAGAAAATTAGTGCATTACTTAATCAAAATATTGATTGAAAAATCTTTTATTTTAATATTCAATTTATTTCTAAATTATTACAAACGTTTTTTTTTTAATCAGATATTTATTCTATATGTAACAAATCAGAACATTCACATTCCTTAAAAGAAAAGAAGTGCATGCTTTTTTGTTGCATAATGATTTTTTAGAAGATAAAATATCACCCCATCCAAAGTACATAGCATGCACTATTATCTGTTTCATCGAGTTCAGTTACAGTATCGAGAGATTTAATCAAAATTAATGCTGTGATTTATTTCAGACCAAACTCAGAAGAACCTCGCTATTATTAAGAGATGTTCTGTAAAATTTTATATCATATAGAAAAAAAACCCACCAAAATACAAAATTCAAAAGCAACTTTCTTGATTAATATCATTAACCTAATCTGGAAACCAAACATGCAAATATGTATATAGTGAAATATTTTTTTTCATATTTATATTCACTACAAATACGAGGGACGTTCAATAAATAATGTCATTGGGGCTCGGAAAGAAACAAAAAACGCTTTTCTATGACTTAGTCTTAATGGTTTAACTAAAATATTATCTTCCCATTAAAAGGCATATCCGTAGCATTTTCATTCAATCTCTAATTGTTTTTCGAACACATTTTTGAGTATGACCCTTCGTATACTGGAATATGGCAGATCCTATGACTTGCTGTACTTGTTTTTTTTCTTTCTGATAAATATTTTTTTAAGTTTAGGAAATGAAACAAGTCAAGGGTTAAAAGATCTGGCAAATTTTTTTGGTGTGACAAAACATTAACTTTCTGTTTATCCCAAAAACTCCTTTACTCTTCATGGACTGTTGGTTTGGACGCCGTCATGAAGACATTTAATGTAGTGAATTCCTCATTCTGTTTCCTTCCTTTCATAAACCTTTCAATTGTTTTGCAAAAAAAAAAATCGTTTTCTAGACTCCTCCAGAAATTGAACTTCCTCCACGAATTTGAATTTGAACAACAAGACTGCTAATATTTAAGAAAATAGCGTATAAAACTATTTTATGCTCTTGCAATTCTTTGCTCTTCTTAGGATTTTGCAGTTTTGTCAAGTGCATCTTATTGTAAATTTGTTTTGAGAGCTTAAAGCAAAATGGATTTAAGTTTCATTATCTGTTAGAATTTCATGCAAACGTGGATAAGTACAATTTTTGAATTTTTAAAAGAATTGTTTAGATTTTCCTACACGCTGTTGTTTTCACTCATTTTTCAAAATATAGGGTGACCTTTGAGTATTAAACTTTTTTACTATAAAATGTTTATTTAAAACAGTATGAACTATCCCCAAAATGATTTTTATCAATTTTGCTATGTGTCTTAAAGTCAATAAAACATAATCAGTGATAATTTGATAAAATTTCGCAAATTTACATCGGTTGTTGTAAGTCATTGTTGCCAAGGACGGTACCCATTTTTCATGCCCATTATATAATTTTTGTTTCTTGAAATCTATATGTTTACATGTCTATAAAACAGGCATTGGTTGCTGTAAATTCCACATATTTCAATTAATATATTTTTGGGATATCAACAAGTTTTACAGCTGGTTTAATGAAGCGTTTAATTTTACTCTAGTTTACTGATTCTTGACCATTCATTTTTAATGCAGTGTCTCGAATAGCCCTTGTTTTCCAACCTCCCACGATGAAATAATGCGACGAAAAGTGGTCACACAAATTGTTATCAATTCATTAAAGATTCAAAAATGAGAGAAAATCAAGCTTTACGTCATATGACTACCATGTTGTATGTCATCGAGCTAATGACATTATTTATTGAACGTCCCTCGTAATACAATATTATTCATTTCTATTTATAGGTACTACAGTGATCAATCGGACTGGGAGAAAAATGATAAAGTACATCAGTACCACTTAGTAAACCACAGTAAATATTATCTGAAATGCGTGTTTTTCACATTCTAATTCAGATTTTGAAAAAAAAATCAAGCTTTTAGCGCAAAATGATAAAATTTCTACGCGTGCTCTTTATCTATATAGATCTAGCATCAAATACAATAAAATTTGATAATGATTTTTTTTTTTTTTTTGCATTCTCATGCAAGTAGTAAAAGGTAAACAAAAGAGTTTAAATGAATGGCGAATAATCACTGGTTCCAGGAACGTCAAAGTCCGGTATCATGCAGGTAAAATTTATTAATTTGACTTTTTTATATAAGAAAAAATTCAAGGACTTCATTTTTTAATCATTTTGACGGTATTCGTTACATTAAAACAAATAGATTCTTATAATTTTCTTAATTAAATATATAATCTTTAATAATTATAAATAATTATTTACCTCGTTTTAGAAATTGTTCACATGTAGAGCATGCTCTTGCGTATCGAATCAACTAAGATATATATATACTCCGTATGCAGGTGATGAGGGTATATTGCTGCACAAGTAAGAGAAGTTGACGCTAGAAAAGTTAAAGTCATCACTGTTTATGTTATAGCTTAGTTGTTAAATTACCATTAACGTCTTTTTCAAGTCAAATATCCAAGTATTAAACAGATTTGTCAGACTCTGTGGTATCTTTCATCTCAAGCTCACCACGATATATATTGTGTATGTATTGTAGGAATGGAAATTACCATTGTTAATTGACAATACATCGTCGATACAGCAAAACTCGTTTAGTACGAACACGGATATAGGGAATTCACGGTTATAACGAAGTTGTTTTGGATCCCCAGCTATATAAATATAACGTATTTCGTATATGGATATAACGAATTACGGATATAGCGAAGTAAATTCAGTGGTCCCCGTGACTTCGTTATAACCGAGTTTTACTGTATATCTAAATGTCGAGGTGAAGGCCACAGCAAGTGTTTTCTTCTTTTCACGCATAGGATTTTGCACAAATTCTGCTTCATATGAATATAAAAATACCTCTGCTTATAACGGAATTGCGCTAATAGCGCAATGGTACCCATGGGAGTTCCAATAGATTGTTGGAATACTTGGTCTACAATAACCACATAGATATTGTCAATCAGAAACTCAAGCATCTCTTTGATGTCAACTTCAGAGTACTTGTGTGTGCAATCAGAATGTGTTTTAACAAAATAATTTTGCAAATGACCAATGACCAGGTAAGTAAATTTAAAAGTTCCATTTTTATTGAAAAAGCAGCTGTCTAAAATATCAAAAAGCCTGGACTTTAATTTATTGTGTTAATAATTAAATAACAAAATATGGAACATCTTTTTTTTTATCAAATTTAAAGATCTCTAATTCGAAATATCAAAATAACCTTTTTAAAGTATATTTATTGAAAATCAACTATATATACATGTATGTAGTTAAGTTGAGATCTTCGGGAATAATTAATTTTATATTCAATTCTTCATTGAACGTATTCTGTAGACTTTTATTAAATCAACTTTTTATTTGCATAATTCTTTTTATTACATTTTTATATTAAATTCAACCA